TAAATGGAATCTCCAGTAAGGGTCTGGAGCAGTGGGACAATGAACTCCCAAAACTAAGCAGCCAAAGCTGTACCCTAGGTCGAATTTCATAACTATGGAGATGGTCCTGAAGACAGAATCCAAATTGAGCAGGAGCAGCTGCAGCAGTAGTAGCAGAGAAAGAGACAGAGAGAGAGTCGACATTAAAAAGGGGGGTAGTAAGGAAGAGAGCCATAGAAATCGGGAAGCAAATTATGATATTTTTAATATTATTCAAAAACAACAAAGAAGCAGTGTTAGAACCAAAAGTAAAAAAGCTTCTTAAAGTTCAGAAAAACTAATTTCTCATAACAAGAACAATATAATAGTATTTCTATGTAATCAAGTATAGTTGTTATAATACAGAAAAAGAAAATAACATCACTATAGACATGAAAGAAAGAAAGTGAAGCCTATCTTTAAAAAAACAAAAAAAATCTATGACCTATTATTTCAAAATGAAGTAAAAGCAAGAAAATCATATAAAACTTACAAAAGCAACATAAGCTAGAATTTTAAAAAATGAAAATAGTGATAGGACAGAAAAAGAATCAATACTTTAAAAACCCATTTTAGAAAGAATGAACTAGAAGAAGCACAATTACAAATAAAAATGAAATAAAATGCTCTAGAAAATGGATTAAAATGTGAAAGTATTTAAATTAAAATAAAACAAAATCATTAAATAACTAATATCATTTGCTAAATAAAACAAATAACTATTCAACAGAGAATTTAAATTATATATCTCCATTCTAATGACAAAAAGAATAACCTAACAAATCTCAAGTTTTATTAAATATGTATTGATAGTAGTAAATATACAATAATTCTAAATCTATTTTGTATTATGGAGTTAACATGTGAAAATACAGATAATGTTGATAATCCTAATTCTCATAGTAGAAAGAAAGTATAATGTTGAAGGAAAGTAGTTAAGAACCCTCTGTGTTGAATTAGTATTTATGGAATCAATATAAAATCATAATGTAAAAAATAATCAATTTAGATTCCGTTTGCTGAAATGGCCCAGGAACCATGACACCCCAAGATCAATTAACACATGAACTCCCAGATGAGTTTCCAAATATCAGTCCCCACTAAAAAGACCAGAGCTCTCTGGAAATAGTTAATTTCAGGGCTTCAAAAAGTAAAAGGAGCCCAGAATTGGAATTCAAGAAATAAAACCCAATATTTACAGACTTAATTTACACAATTTCATCTCCTTGTAACTAACAACAAATGACCAACACGAAATAGTTGCTGACAATCAATAAATATCTTAAACTCTCCACCGAGTTTAAATCCTTAATGTTTTACTTATCAACAGAAAATACAAGACAAACTCAAAAACTCTGTGGACTAAATGATATAAAGTGGATTAACATAATTCTTTACATAAAAGGTGCCTGTAATAAATGTTTTTTTCCCCATTTTCCATGTTATACTTCTTTCACAGCTCATCAACCCAATCAATAATTTCTCTATGACCTCAACATAATTGTCAACTATGTTTAGGAGGCTGCCAATTTGATTATAGTATTTTATTCTAAGAATGAAAATGTACTCCCCATAGTATATCCTATCATCCATATTAAAAACACTTCCATTCTAAAATGTAGTACCATTAATCATAATGTTAAGTTTAGTCTGTATATAATATTTCAAGTAGTTTAAGCAAAAATTTTCAAGCAGGATTAAAAAATGTTTTGAGTGTGGAAAGGCATTTCTCAAGGCTAGAAATAGATATAAGAAGACTAATCACTTGGGATCTATACTCAGAGGTCAGGGCAGCATTTTGTGTCCCCAGTTCTGGATTTCACTTTCCCGTAGATGAATTAAGAAATACTTTTCTGATTACAGCTCCCATACTCTTTTCATTTATTGATGTATTAATCAACTCCACAAACATTTTTGAGCACTCAACATGTGTCAAGTACTGTTATATGCTACAGATAAGGAAAACAAGTAGAAATGGAGTCTCTGCACCTCACAGAGCTTACATTATATCTGGTGATACAGATAATTACATAGACAACTGCAGCATGTATGGTAAGTGTTTGTGATAACAAAACTGTGTGATGCCACTTGTAGGATTTTAATTAGGTGAATAAAATGATCAGACATCTATTTTTGAAAGATCACTCTATGCATGCTGTGGAAAATATAATTGAAAGGGAGCAAGAAATCTAAGGAACTTATCCCTCAGAGTCAAATAATGCAGACAACACCAAATACAGCAACAACAATGATGATTAAAAAAAAAAAAAAAACAGCGGCTAATGAGAAAGTAATATCCACCTTTTTTAGGTGGTATATGCATTATATTCATGATCTCCATTCCCACAAGCAAACAAAGAAATAAGTACTATTAGCCCCTGCTCTTTACAATTTTACAGATGAGGGATTTTATGCTCACAGTAGTTAAGTAATGTGCTCTTAATAGAATAAAACTTTAAAGAAAGAAAGCATTTCCAACCAGTCTGTCTTGAACCACTGTGATGTATTATTATTACTGATTTCTCTCCCCACAAAACTCATTCAAACTAGTCATACATGCAGAGTTTTCAGAGATTGTTTCCAAGAAGAAAGATTTTTATCTCACTTACATTACTGAGTATCAGAAGGTGCCTTGATTATAAAAGAGAAAACTCAATCCTGGGGAATAAACTAAAGCCAATTTCATTGAATTAGATGTTTATTTCATTTAAAGTACATACTAAATTTAAACAGAACATATGCGACTGAAATAATATTTAAATAAAGATGCACCTGTCAGCAACCACCTGATCCTTTTGCATATCCTTTATTCCAATGTTTTAACATATTTCCATTTTCTGAACACATTCTTCCTTATAATTTGACCTTGGTTTGAAAAGTATATGGAATCACTCCTCAGAACTTTCAGACACTGTATTACTGTCAACTTTGCTACCTGTCCCTATACCTGTCTCTCTTTATCAGGACTATCAACAAGTATGATTTAACACATGTAGGCTGAGAAAGGAAGACATTCTACCTTACCACAGAATGCTGAATCTCATTTTGGTGAAACTTCCTAATCTTGCGTTCTCAGGAAACATTCACTGTTCTAATCTGTACCTATTTTAATTCTACTTATATACAAATCACATTTCCATCTTCTGAATATTATCATTACACAACTGAAAATAAGCTATATGAAAATGTTCATTTATTTTTCACAAGTTTGATATTTGGAAATTACACATATATTGATGACACAATATCCTACTTTACTTCTCCAAGTACAATGTGAAAAGATTCTAGCAAGAAAGACTTTCCTTTATTTGTAAAGATCAGTTCCAGAGAGGAAAGAACAACTAATTAGGGATAAAACAGATTGATGTATTAGCAGATATCTCTGCAAAATTATCTTTAGATTTATACAAAACTTAAAATCCTCATACATATTTTAATGTTTATATTTTTATTATATTACAGTATATAGTTCATGACTTCTATTTCTATTATATCTCATTACATTACAGAATTTCAATATGGTTTTGATTTATACTTTTAAGTGTAAAGTTTAAACACTATCAGAATTATTCAAACAATGCTTATAAAAAAGTATTGATTAGTTACTTTATAGTTTATTTAAACAAAAAATAAAGTATCAAAATTTGATAATTATAAATATTCTAATACATCACTACAAAGTCTTATTTTCTTTAACTTAGGTCAAATGGTGTATAAATATCATTTTAAGGAGAGAGAATACAAAAATGTGAATTATTAGAGAATTTTTATCACTAATTTTCTAATTATTTGAATATTCAAATAGGAAAGAAAATAAAACATACCTTAATTTTTTTCTAATTAAAAAGCCACGTATCCATCTTTGAACAATCAAAACTGGTGAATTATGAGCCAGAATTTTATTAATACTTGAAATAACATATTTAATATTATTAAGCTCATCCTCATAGGTGGTTCCCTGTATAAAGAAAAGAATTCAATAATTTTATCTTTCATAAAACTTTTTCCAGAAGGTATTTTATACTTGGTAATCTAGTGATATAAATAAACCCATAAAATATTCATAGGTATCTTATAGGCATAATATTTAAAAAGTAATTTTTAAAGACCATGTAGTTTTATTCAACCATAAAGAAAAATAAAATTATGGCATTTGCAGAAAATAAATGGAACTAGAGACCATCAATAAGTCAAACTCAGAAGGTTAAGGTCCTGTGTATTTTCTTTCATAAGTGGAAACTAGAGAGGAAAAGGGAAAATAACAGTGGGAGTGGATCTCCTAAAAATGAAAGAGAGATCAGTAGAGGAAAGGGATTAAGGGGCAAGAGGTAGGGAGGGAGGAGACAAATGCTGGAGTGTGATATGGGTCAAATTATATTGTTATATTGTGTGCATGTACGAATACATAACAATAAATCCCATCAATATGTACAAATACAAAGCACCAAAAAATAATAAAAAATTCATATTTTAATTTAAAAAGTATCAAAAATTAGAAGCATCAAATAATTTCAATGCTGTGTACAGCATGCAAGATTCTTGATAAGTTTCTTCATTCAAGATTTTTCTTTCAATGTGCTAACATAGGTAAAAGTTTGACTATAGTCACCTTATTTTCTGAAAAATAGTGTTATAAACTGTGTCCAATGAAACTCTTAGTTTGTAAATCACCATAAAGAAAACTAATATGTGTTGAATTCATACAAGAATTTATAGTAGTTAAAATTTTTGTTATACTTAACTAGGATGTTAGATGCTTTTTTTTTGGAACATAGCACACTCCTTTGAGAAAGATATCCTATATAACTTTTAAAATTTTGTCCTAATTACTTATACATGATAGTAGAATGCATTTTGACATACTGTACACAAATGAAGCACAACTTCCCATTCCTATGGATGTACATTTTTCAGAGTCACACCAATAGTGTAATCATACATGTATACAGGGTAATAACGTTACTCTCATTCCACCATTCTTCCCATCCTTGAGCTCCTCCCCTCCCCTCACTCCTCTGTGCACAATCCAAAGTTCCTTCATTCTTCCCTACCACAACTTCCAATATGGATGGATCAGCATCCAATAATCGAGAAAACATTCAGACTTCGTTTTTGGGATTGGCTTATTTCACTTAGCATGGTATCCTCTAGTTCCTTCCATTTTCCTGCAAAAGTCATAATTTCATCCTTCTTTAACCTTAGTAATATCCAGTATGTACATGTACCACATTTTATCCATTCATCTCTTGAAGGGTATCTAGATTGGTACCATAGTTGAGCTATTATGAATTGAGCTGCTATAAACATTGTTGTGGCTGGTCCACTATAGCATGCTGATTTTAAGTCATTTGGATATATGCCAAGGAGTGGGATAACTAGCTCAAATGTTGGTTCCATTCCAAGTCTTCTGAGGAATCTCCATACTGCTTTCCATGGTGTTTACGCAATTTGCAGTCTCACCAGAAATGTATAAGTGAACCTTTTTACCCACATGCTCACCAACACTTATTGTTGCTTGTAACCTTGATATTTCCCACCCTGATTAGAGTGAGATGAAATCTTACAGTAGTTTTAATTTGCATTTCTCTAATTGCTAGATATGAAAATGTTGAACAATCAATTGTATTTCTTCTTCTATGAAGTGTCTGTTCAGTTCCTTAGTCCATTTATTAATTGGGATACTTGTTTCTCTTGGTGTTAAGTTATTGAGTTCTTTATATATCCTGGAGATTAGTGCACTATCTGAGGTGCAGGTGCAAAAATTTTTCTCCCATTCTGTAGGCTCTCTCTTCTGTTGGGGTTTTTAGCTTCTTCTATCGACTCCATCCCGCAGAGAGGCTTAGGAGAGCATGCCACAACCCAGATGGATCAAGAAAGGTGAGGGTCGGCCAGCCACCCACCCAGCCCTCCCCACTGGAGGACAATCAGATGTACTGGGAGACTAGTCAATGCAGGATCTCATTTATTGAGGAAACACACACAACATACATAAGGAGTAAAAACCAATCATTTTAAAACACAGAAAAGCCGGAACCAATCAACATAAAGATCAAATCAGCAGAAGGAATCCACATGTATACCCATACCATAGTTTCTAATGAATAGCACGAGCTGTGTACGAGCATGGAATTGAAGTAAGCCAATCACGGAGGTTTCAAAACAACTTCAGCGTCCTCCTACTGGCATTTAGCCAGGCACCATCTTAGTTTTCAGCCCCACACTCTTCATGTTATTGTTTCCTTTGTTCTTAGTAAACTTTTTAGTTTGAATCCATACCATTTATTAATTCTTACTTTTACCTCTTGCATGTAAGAAGTCTTGTAAAGGAAGTCAATCCCTAAGCCAACATGGTAAGGATTTAATCCTACTTTCTCTTCCATTAGGCACAAGGTCTCTGCTCTAATTCCTAGGTTCTTGATCCACTTTGAGTTGAGTTTTGTACAGGAAAAGAGAGAGAATTCATTTTGCTACATTTGGTTGAATATGCTATCTTTTCTCTAATTTATTTTTTGGTGCCTTTGTCTAGTATGAGATAACTGTATATATGTGGGTTGTCTCTGTGTCTTATATTTTGTACCATTGGTCTACATGTCTATTTGGTGCCAATACCATGCCTTTTTTGTTACCATTGCTCTCTAGTATAGTTTAATATCTGGTACTGTGTTGCCTCCTGCTTCACTCCTCTTGCTAAGGATTGTTTTGACTATTCTGGGTCTCATATTGTTCCAAATGAATTTCATGATTGCTTTTTCTATTTCTATGAAGAATGTCATTGGGATTTCAATAGAAATTGCACTAAATCTGCATAAAACTTTTGGTAGTATCGCCATTTTGACAATATTAATTCTTCCTATCCAAGAGCATGGGAGGTCTTTCCATCTTGTAAGGTCTTCTTCAATTTCTTTCTTTAGTGTTTTGTAGTTTTCATTGCAGAGGTCTATTACCTCACTTGTTGAGGCTATTGTGAATGGGGTAATATTCCTAATTTCTCTTTCAGGGGATCATCAGTGATGTATAGAAATGCATTTGATTTGAAGGTATTGATTTCATATCATGCTAATTTGCTTAATTCATTTATGAGTTCTAGAAGTTTTCTGGTAGAATTTTTGGGGTCTTCTAGGTATAGAATCATATCATCAGCAAATAGTGCTAATCTGAGTTCTTCTTTTTCTATCCATACCTCTTTAAATTTTTTTTGTCTGTATAATTGCTCTGGCTACTATTTAAAGACGTATGTTAAATAGAAGTGGTGAAAGAGGGCATCCCTATCTTGTTCCAATTTTTAGAGGGAATGCTTCCAACCTGTCTCCATTTAGAATGATGTTGGCCTGGGGCTTAGCATAGACAGCTTTTACAATGTTGAGATATGTTCCTGTTATCCCTAGTTTTTCTAGTGTTTTTGAACATGAAGGGGTGGTATGTTGTCAAATACTTTTCCTGCATCTATTGAGATGATGATATGATTCTTGTCTTTAAGTATGTAGATGTGATGCCTTACACTTATTTCCGTACATTGAATCATCCTTGCATCCCTGAAATAAACCCCACTTGATTATGATGCACTATGTTTTTACTATGTTTTCTTGTGCAATTTGCCAGAATTTTATTAAGAATTTTTGCATCTATGTTCATCAGGAATATCATTCTGAAGTTTTCTTTCCTTGCTATGTCTTTTTCTGGTTTTGGTAGCAGGGTGAGGGTGATACTAGCTTCATAGAATGAGTTTGAAAGGGTTCCCTCTTCTCTATTTCCTGGAATAATTTGAAGACTTTGGGTGTTAATTCTTCTTTGAAGGTCAGGTAAAACTCAGCTGAGAATCCATCTGAGCCTGGGTTTTTCTTAGTAGGCTTTTGACGATGTCTTCTATTTTATTGCTTGAAATTGATCTGTTTAATTTGTGTATGTCTTCCTGATTCAGTTTAAGTAGGTAATATGTCACTAGAAATTTGTCAATATCTTTGAGATTTTCTATCTTATTTGAGTATAAATTTTCTAAATAGTTTCTAATTATCTTCTGTCTTTCAGTAGTGTCCATTATAACATTTCATTTTCATCGTGAATTTTAGTAATTTTTATCTCTTTCTCTTTGTTACTGAAGCTAAGGTTTTATCAATTTTATTTATTTTTTCAAAGAAATAACTTTCATTTTATCAATTTTTTGAATTGTTTCTATTTCATTGATTTTAGCTCTGATTTTAATTATTTCCTGTCTTCCACTGCTTTTGGTTGATTTGTTATTTTTCCAGGGCATTGAGATGTAATGTTAGGTCACTTATTTGTTAACTTTTTATTCTTTTAATAAATGAGCTCAATGCAATTAAGTTTCCTCTTAGCACTGGCTTCCCCATAGTGTCCCAGAGATTTTGATATTTTATATTAGTGTTGTAATTTACCTCTAAGTATTTTTTTTTTATTTCCTTCCTGATTTCTTCTACTACCCACTGTCATTGAATAGTGTATTATTTTGTCTCCAGGTGTTAGAGTAGCTTCTATTTTTATTTTAACGTTGATTTCTAGTTTTATTCCGTTAATGTCTGAGAGAATGCAAGGGTTTTTTTTTCTTTTTTTCTTTCTTTTTCTTTTTTTTTTTTTTTTTGTATTTGCTAAGAGTTGCTTTGTGGCATAACATATGGTCTGTTACAGATGAAAATCCATTTGCTGCCAAAAGAAAGTGTATTCAGTCATTGATGAATAAGTCTAAATTATTGATTTCATTATTTAGTTCTATAATTTCTTTGTTTAGTTTTTGTTTGGAAAATCTATCCAGTAGTGAGAGAGGTGTGTTAAAGCCACCCAGTATTATTGTGTTGTGGTCTATTTGATTCATAAAATTGAGAAAGGTTTGTTGGAGGTATACAGATGTTCCATTGTTTGGGGCATAAATATTTATGATTTCTATGTCTTGAAAATGTGTAATTCCTTTAAGCAGTATGAAATAGTCTTTTTGTCCCTTCTGAT